ATAATAATATTTAAAAGGAGGCAAATAAATAATAGTTGCACACTGCTTTTCTTTGCTAGCATTAGGAGCAGCCGTGTCTAAAGGCATGACTGGAGAAATCATCCAAGTTTAGTATCCCAAGACTGAGTTTTGCCCGAAATGTTACAAATTCCCACAAAGGGAATGCTATTCCTAGAATTTTGTCCGTGTGCAGGGATGTGTTCTGATTTTCATGTGTTGATACTTGTGCATGTGCTATAAGGCAAGTGGGGGCGGGAGGGGAGATGGTCTAGAACAATGCTTCCCAACCTTGAGTCCTCAGATTTTTTTGGACTAAAATTCCCAGAAGTCTTCACCAGTAGCTGTGCTGCCTACAATTTCTGGGGGTTGTTGTGTCATCCAAGAACACCTGGGGACCCAAGGCTGAGAACCACTGAGAAGAACTCTCCCCAGGAAAGACAAACTTACAGCAGTCCTCGTTCTTTGTTCTGAAGTGTGCTGTGTGACATTTGCTGTGTTGCATTCCCTCTTTTTAAGGTTTCGGGAGCTCTCACCCTATTGGCCAGAGGATTTCTCTGGGCAGGGATATGGCATCCAGTTTCTCTGATTTCTCTTTCTCTCTCTCTCTCCTCTGCCTAGGTGGAAAGACCCCTGCCCTGTCATCAGTAAATCCAGGGTCACTAGCTGGGCCTTTTTCTGCAGGCAACCCTCCTATCTCCTCCAAGGCTTGCCTTAAGGCCTACCATCATGTTTCTCAGCCATTTCCCATGCCAAACATTACTGAATGGACAACAAAACCTAGGACTGGGATAGCGGACAGCAGCCCCCCTTGGCATATGCCTCCATTCAGACAGCCTCAAGAGAAATCCGTCCCAGGAATCTTACCACCGTGTTCTTCAGGAACATTTTCCAAACAGAATCTCTCAGGTAAGGCCTCTTTTATGCATGAATTGTGTGGGTGTGGGTGTTTTACTTTTTGTTTGTTTGTTTTTTGTTTAGTTTTTTTTTTCAAAACTATGCTACCCTGTGTGACCTTACTGTGACAAACTAATCCAACATCCTCTTCAGTCATGAATATCATCAGGCAGAGGATCTGAATAACTACACTGGAAGCTTAATTCCAGATCTGAGCCTAGTGAACTTTGCAGAGCTTCTAACTTTGTTCTTGGAGAGCAGGACAAGCTGCTTATGAACTTTCATCGCAGGATACAGTGTAAATGTTGATAACACTGGCTCACAAGTGTGAGCATGCAGCCCTGTGCCATGAATTTCCTGGTGTGACACAATGAGGCAATGCCTATCAAATTTTTCTCCTGACTCTCCTCTCCCATATATCTGTGTCCTTCTTTGCTGGATGCTGCTTTGTTGGAGGACGCAGGTGCTGATTTGCTGGAAGAACATCTGTCTGAGATTCGGGTACTTCGCCAGCGCTTGGAGGAGTCCATCTGCACCAACGATCGGTTGAGACAGCAACTGGAGACTCGCCTGTCCTCAGTGCCAAAGGCCAATAGTAAGAGACAAGCTGCCGTCCCATCCTCAAGGAAGGGGTCATTACAGATAGCAGTCAAAGGCAGAGTGCTCCATCACCATTATCTAGGTTGAATGAATGAATGAATGAATGAATGAATGAATGAATGAATGAATGAATGAATGAATGAGCTTTATTACGGTCACTGGCCAGCAGATATATCCAGATGTGACTATAACACAAAAATACAATGAAAAGTAACATAAGGTAGCAATATAATATCACATGTACATAATCTATTACAATGTAATTACATTAGATGGATACTCCTTAGTTTCATTGGACTGAGTTCAGTAAATGAATTCAGCAAATTCTGTACCATTTCCAGTCTCATCGTCTTAAGTAGTGTATCATATAGAATATAGGGTGGCCAGTACACATTATTACTAAAGCATTACTAAACAGTTAGCTTCACCTTGATCGGTGCAATGAGGAAACAGCGACACTTCATTGCTGCAGCACAGAACGATGCCACTTCTGGCTTGACGCTGCAACGAACCAGGAGCAGAAGGATGGATCTCTGTCCCCTGGGCTGAATTTTGACCTATTTGGGACCCCCAAGGGGGTTAAAACTACCCCAAAGAGGTGGTGAAATGGGGGAGAAGCCTGTTGATCATGGGGGAACTGCAATTACCCACATTTGATCCAGGAAACTCCCCAGTCAGCAGGTGGAAACAAACAGCTAAACTAGCTTGCTTGCAAGTCGTCAGCAGCCAGGAATGGAGAAGCGATAAATCAGCCTAATTAACATCAAGTTACCACTAGGTGAGAAACATCTTTTTAACTGTTTTGATTGACTATTCCTGGACAAGACAATTCCTAGGGCAGAAATCGTGTCTTCTATCCCTTTGCCACTGATTGAGCAGCGAAGAATCTGAAGAGGGGGGAGACGCAGAGAGATACAGGGAAAATCAATTGGACACTAATTAGACATTTAATTATACTTAAAGAAAAGAAGTTTGGTATTACTCTTGTAGTTATAAACTTAAGAAGCTTTCTCCTGAAAACATTATTAGCATCAACTCTAGGAAACTAAATCTGTTTATGTTACTTCTAACAGCTATCTAAGATGTTGGCATAGCCCAGAATCAATGACCTTGAACACTATATGGCTGTTTGGAATTCCTTTTCCTTTTGAGGACAGAACTGAATTACAGATTTGGTATTACTCTTGTAGTTATAAACTTAAGAAGCTTTCTCCTGAAAACATTATTAGCATCAACTCTAGGAAACTAAATCTGTTTATGTTACTTCTAACAGCTATCTAAGATGTTGGCATAGCCCAGAATCAATGACCTTGAACACTATATGGCTGTTTGGAATTCCTTTTCCTTTTGAGGACAGAACTGAATTACAGATATTAACTCTAGAAAGCCTAATCCAGCCAAAGTGGAATTTCTAAATTGTATCCTAGGTTCTGATCTTGATAAGACCTTGAGCCTTTAGGTGGGGAAAATTCTCTACTTCTGAGACCGGATTCAAGCTTAACCCTAAAGATGATCAATTCATTAAAATGGATCTATGGAAGCAAGTATTGGTGGAACTGAACTGATTAAGCATCTGGACATTTTACACACTGTCGATAAAAAATTTTTCCATCTGCAACATAATGCCACAACAAGAACAATTTTGGGATGAAACAAAATCTGTCCTTCAAGCAATCTTAGAAATATTGAGATCCCACAACGAAGAGCTGAAACTTTTCAAGAAGCAGTTGAAGAAGAACTATAATCAACAGGAGACAAGGAATAATGAACAAGGAAATGAGAGGATGGTAGATGGTGTATGCCAATCAAAAGAGAGGCTGGAGGAAATTAGTGGGGAAAACCTAACCTTGGAACCAAGGAGAGTTTTAAGGGAAGATAAGAGGAGAAACTCAGCAGACGTAATTAAAAATAGCCTGGAAGATCTATTGAAGATAGACGAAGTGCATAAATATCTATTGGAGATAGATCAAGTGTACAAAATGTTTTCAGATGACACAAAGAATGGCAGAATGTTTAAAGAGAAAGAAACAAGAATTGGGAAAAGGAAAATAAGAGGAGTTACTTAGAAAGATGAAAAAGGGGAAAACATTAAGGTGGCCATCGTTGAAAAGCATGTATATACCTAACTTCTGGAACTGTAAATATGCCCCTTTACAGTTCCAGAAGTTAGGTTATATCCGACTTCTTGTCCAAGAGTAAGAGCATGGCATAAAATTTAATTTCTAGATTTTACATCTATCACCCATCCTCTCTCCTTGGTCAGCAGGATGAAATAAAATGGGCTTCAAAGTATAGGCAGTAGGGTGACATTTAGAAAGGTCTTTCAGTGATTGGAACTGCAAGTGAGCAGATGTGTGAGAAGGATTTTGGCAGTAAGAAAGGGTATTGCTGGATAAGTAGCAGTATTACTAAGTACTTCATTTTAATTTCACTTCTAATTGTGGAAATGCAATGCTTTGACTGTATGAAAGGACACGATACAGCCTTTAGCATAGACAGCATTTATTTTTCAATCAGATACTCATGCTTTTCAACACTGCTCTTAGAAGCAAAGTCTTCCTTGGGTCTGTGAGCTCCTTGGTTGTCCTAGAAACACACTTGATGGCTGACCTGTCCTTCTCCTGTTTATGAGTTCAGAAAGGACCCAGAGAGTTCTGCCTATTGGTACAGCACATAGCCTCCGAAGTGCTTTTGGAGAGCGCTTGCCTGCATCCCAGAAAGTGATATCCACAAGCCATGTTGCAGGCTTCCTGTGGAAAAACCATGTCAAAGGGACAGAGGGTCAGGCAACCAAGAGGTGAACAATGCCTCCAAGTTGGAGCTACAGTGGGATTTCCCCAGAACAGTGAGAAAGATGCTCTGACATGTGGAGAGCCACAAATACTAACTATTCAAGAATTCCAAATCTCTTGTAATGCCTTTATCTCTGAGTTCAGTGAAGAGACTATGTTGGACCTACCTCTGGTAGAAGGGTCCTTGAACATCTCCTCCCTGACATGTCCTGGGTTTAAATGCCCAGTGCTTCAGAGTCTTTACTAATACGAAGCTTCCCCACAGGATGTGCCTATTTCAGGAGGAGGAGAGCCACAGCTGTAGGTAGGCAGAAATAGAGATTAGATGGCAGCAAATATGTCTGTTCTCTCCGGCATTAGATACTGCTCCTGCCTGAATCAAACTTCTCTCCTTCCGGAAAGCTCAGTGGTCCTGTAGCTATCCTGTTGAGTCCAGACCAGCCTCCACATTCTTTCTCCCCACAGCATTTTCTCAACAAAACTATGGGTCTCCCCCAGTGTTTTGCTCTTAACAAATTTGCTTCTGAGAGGCAGATACAAAAATTTGGGGGCTTAAACCCAATTCTTAGCTAGTTAGGGTATCTCACTTAGCCAGCAGGCTAGTCCTGCAAGAGAGGGGGCAGCTTAGAAGTCTTCTAAGTCCTTCTTTGCTACTTTGAAGCAGAGGAGATTGTTCTTAGATACAAAGCTCCCGGATAATTTCCTAAGCCAGTCTCTCTCTCTCTCTCTCTCTCTCTCTCTCCGGCCAACCTGTAGCAAGTGGAAGAGGAGGGTTCTGAGGCGAGGGGACATGTAGCTCAACATCCAACCTGAGTCACAAGTGCCCAAAAGGAATGTAGTCTTGAGAGTTATTTACGTACCAAGTTCACCTTCCTTTCTGAGAGCTCTGGAACCATGAGCAATGACTTTCGGAGCCCCTGGCCGTGACTTTGGAAGCTCTTTGCCACCAAGCAAACAGCTTTGCCAAAAAGCTTTGCCACCAAGCTTTTCAATGCACAATGGGACGGACATATCTGGAAAACTTTGGGTGGACTTAAATCCTGTCTCAATGAATAAATAAATAAATAAATAAATAAATAAATAAATAAATGAAAACTCCACACAAGAGAACACTACCCCTGACAATCTCTTTCAACCCCCAGAGTTGGAGCACTTACAGAATTCACTGCTGGCATCACACTCCCATCTGCATGATGGCAACGTTGTCCTGGAACAGCAGCGACTTCAGCAGCAGCGGTTGCAGGAGGAGATCCAAGGCAAGCAACGAGACCTTGTGCAGCTCCAGGAGGAGTTCTTGGCTTCACAAATCAACAATTCTAGGTGGGCCAAACAGATTTAGCAGCAGAAACCTGCTGAGAGCAAGGGGAAACAGGGGCAGGGGGATGGGGAGGGGAGGGAGGGAGAGTGTCTCTGCCCTAAACTCCTGTGGGCACATGAACTGGCTTTTGGTCTCGAGGCGGGACCTTTTGGCAATAGTGATCGAGGAAAGGCTATCCTTAGGAGAGGCCATCGAAGTGAGCATCAAGGTATCCTTCAATCGGAAGTATGTGTTTGGGGCTGTATGGCAAGGAATACCTCTGTTGGTCTGTTAACAAGAGAATCTTATGGCACCTCAAAAGAGTAACAGGTTTCATTTGGCATAAAATGTTATGGGCTGCAACCTGCTTGCACGAGGCATCTGATGAAGTGGGCTGCAATCGGAAAAACCTTTCACCAAATGAAACTTATTCCTTCAAAACGCCACAAGATGTTTGTTTTGCTGCCTGGCAACACAAGACTAATCCAACCATGATGATACAGCACAGTGAATCTTACAAGCCAGCCAGTGAGTGGCCAGATGGTGAAGCCTATGTTTATTTCTTTTGCAGATTTTAGATATTAGTGCAATCACATTTAAAGGGGTGCACTGCAAGAGTCTCTTTAGGCTAAACCTTGCCATTAGCAACAGACCACAGACGGATAAAGACCAGGCAGCTGTGGATAGATAATGGATCCATAAGGATTAGTCATTCTGTTACCAGTCTCAGAGCATACGTATAAACATAGATGTTTTCTGAGAATACATAAGTGATTTGGCAAAATGGGCTCACGAAATAATGTTCACTCAGTTAGTCAACCAGAGAACTTCATTGGCCGTACAGGAATCAAAATATACACAATGATTATAAGTAATGCTGGATAAACAGCAAACAATTAGCAAGTGACAAGATAAGGGTGGGGCCTTAAAATGGGATTTTTGTCTTTCTGTTGTTTTTAATGTATTTTTAGTATATTTGTTTAATTCTTTTTAATATTTTTATAATGTATTGGTTATAGCTTTTATACAGTTTATTTTTTTAATAATATGAGGTGCCTTGGTTCCTTTTAGAACAGTGCTTTGCAACCTTGGGCTCCCAGATGTTCTTGGACTACAACTCCCAGAAATCCTGGCCAGCATAGCTGGTGGTGAAGGGTTCTTGGAGTTTTAGTCCACGAACATCTGGGGATAAAAGGTTAGGAACCATTGTTTTAGGAGAAAGGCAGGGTAAGATCGAATCCACGCAACCGAGTGAGCTCCCATCGCTTTGTCCCAGCTCCTTGCCAACCTAGCAGTTCTAAAGCATGTAAATGCAAGTAGATAAATAGGTACCATCTCAGTGGGAAGGTAAAACGGCATTCCCACGCTGGCCACATGACAACAGAAAACTGTCTTCGGACAGGTGCTGGCTCTATGGCTTGAAAAGCGGGATGAGCGCCGCCCCCTAAAGTCGGACACGACTGGACTGAAAATGGCAAGGGGAACCTTTACCTTTACCTTTACTTCAAAAATGTTACAAGGATATATTAAGTCAAAGGAAGCAAACTTTGCAGGACTGCACTGAGAGAGAGTTCTAACAGCCAGGCTGCTACTGTAAGGCCTAGGTAAGCTCAAGAGGGCTGGATTCAGATTTAAGCTGGTAGCAGGAGTTGAGGCTGAGCAAACTGGGATGGACAGGTTCTTAAAAGGAGAGGAAGGAAAGAGAGGGCCTTTTCCCTAAACCACACACAGACAGACCTTTTCCAACAAAAAAACAGGGAACTGTGCCAGAGAGCTTTTATTGTGCAGGCAAAATACCCAACAAAGATAGATTTAGTGGTGAGCGAAACTCCCGGCCCTTCATTTCATGGGACTGACTTGAAGACAAGCTGGGGAATATTGCAATAGTGTGAGCAGTGGGAAGGAGGCAGAAATACCAAGGGAGAAGAGATTTTTTAAAGGTTCTAGGACCAGAACCTGGAATTTGGAGCTAGTAAGATTCTCTGGGTAAATTCTGGATTCTGAAGGTCTGGGAGAGTCATTCCAGTTCAAGCTGGTCACCGGCCTGCAGGCCTTTATTGGACTTCAGGCCATTTACTGGATGCAGTTTAAAAAGGAAGCACTGTAATGATCCCACAGTGTTTCAGTGGGAGGCCTTCAGGAGCAAAAGATGGGAGGTTTCTGGTAGAAAGGGAGACAAGAAGCAGGTCCGGAATGAATATATGGCCATCTTGTGCTTTGTTTTATAATGATCTTTGGGTGGGCTGTTTGCTAATGTTCTGCACACCTACTTCCCCAAGCTCCTTGTGGCCTGCATAGCTTGCTAGCTCTTCTGTAATGCATAATGAAAACCTTTACGACCAAGGAGTTATATTTTCAGGACATACTTTTTAATTTAAAAATTGCAGCATATATTGCCTATATATGCTGCAAAATAGCTCATATTTACAGTTTTAAAATGACCACTGTGCTAAAAACAACAAAAATCTCTTGGCAGTAAATCTTATTACATGTGACACAAACACTAACCTGGAATTATGCTGAAAGTTTCTGGTGAACCCCAGCTGGTATGGTCCACTGCAAGGGACCCTCAGGTACCCCACTGATTTTGAAATCTGATGTTTCTCCTACTGTCACTACAGGATAGGCATTGTAAAAGTACTAAACTGCTCAGCCAGAGTTGGGAAGCCTCCATCATGGCTCATTTCTTTTGGGATCTTCTTGTAGGCTTAAAGACAGAATGACGTTACTGCAGCATCAGTGTGAGGAAAACCAGTTACTCCTCCAGGCCTTGCAGGCTGAATTGCGTGTCTATGAGGTGTTGCACACTGTGCCAATGGAGAAGGCAAATAGAGGTGGGTGCTGGCTTCTTTCATCTTCCCCTTCAGTTAGCAACTACACTGCCTATTTTTCCTAATGTCCCAGGAAAGCAAAGTTGACATTTCCTGTAAAGGTAGTTCCCTGCCTTTTACACAACTATATGAAACAGCAGTGCACCAGCACTGTCTTACTACTGCAGCTGCTGCTACTGACACCACTGCCTGGCAGAGCTGGCTTATACCCTGTCAGAGGGTATCCAGCCCATCTTGCCCACATGACTGATAATGGCTTTCAAGGTTTTCAGATTGAGAGATTTACACTCATACACGGTAGATAACATTTTCTAAGTCTTGGTGGTGTAAAAGCTTTTCTTGACAATCAGAAGCATTTGCAAAGCAGACTAGCAAGATCATTACAGGTCTCACCCTATACGTTTTTTCTTATTTCTCTCGATTCAGTCATTTTGCTGCCAGTCTGAAATCTTGGCATAAATGCTGTGCTACTCCTACCCCCTTTCTGAAATCTCAGTAACAGAGGAGTTGCACCTTGTATATCATGGAATATAACATCTTGTGGGCTTGTGGGAAAAAGACCTTGGGAGATATTGTGTCAGTTGTTGATGAAAGTAACAGAGGAGTTGCACCTTGTATATCATGGAATATAACATCTTGTGGGCTTGTGGGGAAAAGACCTTGGGAGATATCGTGTCAGTTGTTGATGAAATTATTAGGTATTTAATGAAATCCATTCTCTCACTCCATAAGACGCACAGACTTTCCACCCCCCTGTTTTGTGGGAAAAAAGTGAGTCTTATGGTGCAAAAAATACAGTATTTAATGAAATCCATTCTCCCTTTTGCTGGGTCATGTAAGAAGTGTTGTCTTCCCCAGATGCCTAGTTTCCAAAATGTTTGTTGACAGGTGAAAAAGGTCATCACAGCTGCATGACATTTTTGAAAACCTCACCCATCAGTGGATGAATAGCTTTGGAAGAGGCAACATTCAGTCTTAACCACAGATCTTATCAGGGCTTTTGCCCAAGTGCTGGGTGGTAAATGACACCATGGTGAACGAGGTTTTCAAAAATGCCATGTACCTGTGATTACCTTTTTCACCTGTCAAGAAATATTTGTTTCATTTCACCAATGGGCACACCACTGTGGACTCTGTTTTCTTTTACATGTTCAGACAGCATAGGACAAATTGGTGATATAATTACGAATATATTATGGGTGTTACAAACATGAAATAATATTCGCCCATGTCTTATGTTCTGTGTACTGACAATCACAATTACATTATGAACCTGCTGTTCGCAAAATTGTGTTAGCAATGACAGTGCGATTACTCTCTGCATTCCGTTCCCAACCGACTTCACTGTCTTATTTTTTGCTTCAACAAACACAGCTGCAGCTTCCGAAATTATTTTGGAGAAATTTGTTCCATGGTGTGTATGTACGTGTGTTGTTAAACAAGTCTATAAAAGAAAGTTCAAGAACAGATCACTAAACATTTGATCTTTGCGAGACTAATCTTATCTCTTTTTCTGATAGAGTTACTAGTTTGGTAGATAATAGAATGTCTATAAAAGAAAGTTCAAGAACAGATCATTAAACATTTGATCTTTAAGCACTTAGGAAAGACTGCGAGACTAATCTTATCTCTTTTTCTAATAGAGTTAAAAGTTTGGTAGATAAGAGAACGCTATAGAGGTAGCAGACCAAGAGAAGTAATAGGGCCACTCTTCTGCTTTGGTCAGGCCTCATCTGGAATACATTGTCTTGCTCTGGGCACCAACAGTGTCAAGAAGGGTGTCAAGAAGCTGATAGAGGTAGCAGACCAAGAGAAGTAATAGTGCCACTCTTCTGCTTTGGTCAGGCCTCATGTGGAATACATTGTCTTACTCTGGGCACCAACAGTTTAAGAAGGGTGTCAAGAAGCTAAAAGGTGTCCAGAGGAAGACAACCAAGATGGTGAAGATCTGGAAACCAAGGAAAAACAGTTCAGAGAGTTATGCTTGTTTAACCAAGAACAGAGAAGGTTGGAAGACTGTCATGTCAGATGATAGAACAGAACCAATAGATTCAAATTAAAAGAGAGAGAGAGAGATTTTTGACTAAGCATGAGGAATAATTTCCTGACAGTAATAATTCCTCAACAGTGGAACAGATTGCCTTGTGGTGGTGTCTCTTTCAATAGAGAGAGAAACATACTGCCCATCTGTCAGTGATATTTAGCTGCAGATTTCCTGCATCAGCAGAGTGTAGGATTTAATGCCCTTTGGATTCTCTTCCCACTTTAGCATTCTATTATTCTACAATAGAAGCTCTGACACTCTCCAGAACTCCTTCTCAGGCTAAGTGGTACAAAAAGCACTGGGTGGGGAAACAAACTAAAAAGAATAAAAAGAAAGGGCCAGAGGTCCTGGTTGTGAAACTACAGTTTTAGAACAGAGATTGTAGATTGAATGAATTAGAGACTGGTGAATTAGCATCTATCAGATTGTAGCCAGAATTTTTTTGGTGGTGGAGGGAGAAGATGTTTGTCAATGGAACAGACTGCCTTGTTGATGGGGACTCTCCATCCTCAGAAATCTTTAGACAGAGATTAAATGGCCAACTGTCAGGGACGTTTTAGCTGCAATTTTCCTGATTCTGAAAGGACAGGCTTGATGACCCTGGGGACTCTACAGTTCTAGATCTGGTCCTTGCAATTCCTGGTAGTGACCCATTGTAGCGGAACCCCCACATCACCCCTGTCCATCATGGGAAGCTCAAAGGCAGGAGCCTATGAGAGGACAGGAGGGGCGGAACAAAAAGGACAGTTGAGGAATTAGACAGTTAGGCAGACAGTTAGGGAAGAGAGTTGGAGAAAAGTGGTTTTGGAGATAGGGAATTGAAGAGAGTGAGTTAGGAGATTGATTTGAGGAAGTTTAGACAGAGATTGGAAAGATGTAATGCTAGAAAGAATAGGAAAGAGTTCAAATGCATAGAGATTAAGTAGAGAGTCAAAGAATATTGTAAAAGTAAATCAGAACACGTACAAACCCAAGTGAAAGCAAAAGATATTTAATGAATAATTCTAAACATCTCTGATTTCTCCTGTGATTTACATAACATCTATATTAGCAAGAAATCTGTTGTTTTGGCAGCCTGTGTCTTAGATTTCTCTATTGGGTATTGAGGGAATAATACCTGGCGGCAGCATGAAGTGAGGACAAACATCCAGAGAGTGGACTTGTGTTTAAAGGAAAATAAACAAAGGACGTAGGGTGTACATCACACCCATACCTTCAGTTTTCAATCTCAGCTGCTTGGAAAGATGCAGTACTTTGTTCTTGGAACTAAGATTGGAAACATGAGGATGTTTTCTATGCCAGCTGTAGTTTCATGACCAGCTTCACATTTAACACACTATATTTGCCTTCCCTGATCTAAAACTTTAGTTTCAGGCAACGTACCTTCTAATTTTCTCACCCCTGCACATGCATACAAGTCAACCCCCTCCCCCAGCATGCTGGGTTCCATCGCAACTGGAACCTAACGCGATGTCTCTGTGGAGGAGGAAGACAGCTGCACACCGGGAGGCAGAGATGCATGTGGGTCTCTTAATTATCTTGGCACACTTGTTTAAATTTTGAAGCATATCTATCTTTATTTTCCTCTTCATTTTAGAAACCACATATATGCAAATATCCAGCTGAGGCTACAAAATTATACATGATTACCAGCAAATAAGTCCCATTATATTCCAGAGACATACCTATGGGTAGACAGACATAGGATCACACTATAAATCCTCTCTTTCCTTAAGGCCTTTCATGCTAACATTATCTATCAACCTCTGTTACTGACATCCTCTATGACAAGTGTGGGAATCTTTTTTTTTCCCTCAAGGGCATATGAAAGAAGGGATGGAGAGCTGGTCGACTGAAACCAACAGTTACAAATCAGTTTAGAACTCTCTGGGAGGGAAATCCTTTTTTTCTCAGCAGTTTTCCACTTTCATGTACTTCCCAGTCCCAATCAAATTAGAGCCTGCAGCACTTTCAGAACATTCATTCCAGAGAATAATCAGTGTCCCAGATTCATTGGAAAGGTTTGAAAAGCAGGAAATAAGAATTAAGACCAAGAGGCCTTTTTTGGTTTAGGTAGCCACAAAAGATATCAGAACCAAGTTATGAAAAACTGAGCAGGGTTCCTTTAATGTCTTGGCTAAGCGCAGCCCTCTCTTCCTCAAGAGCCTAGCAACTGGAAACTGGATCTCAGTGCCAGAGATACAGAGGAACAAAGGCTCTGATCACTTCTCATTGGAGACGGATTAGGTCCTAAAGCCTTGTGATTCTGACTCTGTAGAGCTGCTGCTGCTGCTCCCACCAAGACTGACAGTTTGGTACCTTTGCTTGCAGAAGCACAGAAGCAGGACAGCCTCATACCGGTAGAAGGTGACAACAAACAGGGCAACCAGGTCATCGGTCATCTCAAGGACTATATCTCCCTTAAGGAACAGATTCAGGAGGGAAAGACCCTGATCCACAAGATGTCATCAACTCTATATCCTGGCCTGGAACAAAAGAGCAGCGGCAAGGTAACTAGGAATACAGATGGCTTGAATGTTGGCATATCTAGTAATAAAGAGTCCAAATGAGGGGCTTTCCCACCAAGGAGGGAGTGGACAGAGGAACCCAGCCTCACAGAACCCACATTATTATATTTGCTGCCTCAGCCTTGGGAGAGGCTCCTTCATCCTCAAATGGGGTAGATTGGCACCTGCTACACAATCTACTGTTACACAATGGCCTAAGACCATGCATGCTAATATCTTGAAAGTTAGCTGCAATTTTTTTGGTACTGAGGAAACAAACACGTCCCTATAGATGAGCTTCACTCCTGGAGATTTATTATCCCCGGTTGCCATGGGGACTACTAGAATTCAACGACAGACTGTAGGGCCTTCAAATGTTTATCAGGGTGGAGCTCATCAACCCAGCTCGGGGGGAGGGGGGGCAGAGAAAACCTTTTTGCCCCTGGAGTTCATTTTAGGTGAAAAGCAATCCGAAGACTAGGGATCCCTTAAGGAGCCACTGAGTGCTAACAGTAAGCCCAAATGAGTAAGTTACAAGATTTTCTCTTGACAAAATTCTCTTTGTTTATGCAGGTTTTCGGTCAAGAAGTAACCAGGCAACTGCTTGCGACTGTGACCTCTTTGCGCCACACCCTGGAGAAGTCAGCTTGCCTTCTTTCGTTGTTCTCAAAAGCATCCCTTCCTGAAGCTCAAAGCTCTGCACAAGTACAGCAGGTAGCAAGTAGAAGCATCTTCCCCACTGCCCCCCAAGAAGTCTTTTGATATGCCCACCCACCCCTTTTGGAACCATCTTGAGGGGTGTGGATCTATGAAGATACAGGCATCTTTTCCTGAATTGTTGTTCTTATTTAATCGTTAAGTCAGGTCCAACTCTTTGTGACCCCATGGATGAGAGCATGCCAGGCCCTCCTGTCTTCCATTGCCTCCCAGAGTTGCGTCAAATTCATGCCGGCAGCTTTGACGACACTGACCGGCCATCTCGTCCTCTGTTGTCCCCTTCTCCTCTTGCCTTCACACTTTCCCAACATCAGGGGCTTTTCCAGGGAGTCTTCTCTTCTCATGAGATAGCCAAAGTATTGGAGCCCTAACTTTAGCATCTGTCCTTCCAGTGAGCACTCAGGGTTGATTTCCTTCAAAATGGATAGGCTTGTTCTCCTTGCAGTCCAGGGGACTCTCAAGAGTCTCCCCCAGCACCACAATTCAAAAGCATCAATTCTTTGGTGGTGAGGCTTTTTAGGGTCCAGCTCTCACTTCCATACATCGCTACTGGAAAAACCATAGCTTTGACTATGCGGACCTTTGTCGGCAAGGTGATGTCACTGCTTTTTAAGATGCTGTCAAGGTTTGTCATCGCTTTCCTCCCAAGAAGCAATGGTCTTTTAATTTTGTGCCTGCTGTCACCATCTGTAGTGATCATGGAGCTCAAGAAAGTATAATCTGTCACTGCCTCCATATATTCCCTTTCTATTTCCCAGGAGGTGATGGGGCCAGTGGCCATGATCTTACGTTTTCTTGATGTTGAGCTTCAGACAATTTTTGGTGCTCTCCTCTTTCGCCCTCATTAAGAGGTTCTTTAATTCCTCCTCACTTTCTACCATCAGAGTGGTATCGACTGCATCTCTGAGGTGGTTGAGATTTCTTCTGGCAATCTTAATTCCTGGGATTTATCCAGTCCTGCCTTTCTCATGATGTATTCTGCAAACAAGTTAAATAAGCAGGGAGACAATATACAGCCTTGTC